CCTAAAGCTCAACCCTGTGTATTTCTCGGTTATGCTGACACTTACAAGGGCTATAAGTGTTTAAATCCTAAAACAAATAAAACTTGTTATTCCCGTCATGTTACATTTGATGAAACTGTTTTTCCATTTGCAGCTCAACACCAAGCACCTCCGGCTTCTCCCAGCAATCTTTCGCCTCTGTTTTTAACACCTATTTCTACACTCCGGCATTTTACGCACACGGTTCCCGATCATGTCCCACCCATTATTCAGCCAGAAACTACGCCTACCTCATCTACTACTTCTGCTCATATTCCAGTTCCAGCACCATCATGCGCTCCTATTGGGACCAACAGTCCACCTGATCCCAAGCAACCTTCTCATTCTATGATCACACGAGGTAAAACAGGCTCCCTAAAACCTATAAATCGACTAAATCTTTTTCATGCAAATCTTGCAGACAACGAACCATCTGCTCCCTCCACGTACACCGAGGCCAGCAAACTTCCTGAGTGGCATCGCGCCATGGCGGATGAATTTTTTGCTTTACAGACGCAAGGCACCTGGAGCTTAGTGCCACCGCCGTTGAATTCCTCAGTACTCGGTTGTAAATGGACGTATCGTCTTAAGTTGCATTCTGATGGATCAATTGCCAAGCATAAAGCTCGCCTCGTTGCACTCGGGAATCATCAAGAATTCGGCATGGATTATACTGAAACTTTTAGCCCGGTGGCTAAGCTTCCCACCATCCGTATCTTACTCATAGTGGCGTTACACAACGATTGGCAAATTCAGCAACTCGACGTTGCAAATGCTTTTTTACACGGCTCGCTTTCAGAAACAGTCTACATGCGACAACCAAGAGGCTTCGAAGATACTACTAACCCTACTCACGTCTGCCAACTTCACAAGGCCATTTACGGTCTAAAACAAGCGCCTCGACAATGGTATAACACGCTTACCTCTTTTCTTGTCTCCATCGGGTTCATTCACAGTAAATCCGATCCCTCGTTACTGATTTTTAAAACTCGAAATGTTCAATTATACTTGCTCATTTATGTTGACGACATTCTTCTAACGGGAAATGACTCCACAGCTCTCAACAATATTATACAGCAGCTAAAAACCAAGTTTCTCATGAAGGTTTTGGGTCCTGTTTCGTCATTTCTTGGCATCAATATCTCACGCTCCTCCAATCAATACTTCCTAAATCAGAAGCAGTATGCCAAATCCATTCTGAATACTGCTCACTTCACTTCGTGCAAACCTTTATCTAACCCAACGTGCACTAAACTTCCTCAAACCTATGCCTCTGACCCGGTTCTGGATGATCCGAACGTATACCGTAGCATCACCGGCTCATTACAGTACTTGACGTTAACTCGACCCGACATTTCGTTCAGCGTCAACCTACTGTCACAGCATATGCATCTTCCTCAACCGCAGCATGTTTATCTCTTAAAACGTCTCCTTCGCTATATCCAAGGTACGCTCAACTTTGGTATTCCTATTCTTAAATCTAATCTCCGGCTATCTGCTTACTCTGATGCAGATTGGGCTGGCGATCCCATCTCCAGAAAATCCACCTCTGGATATTGTTCTTATCTTGGCAACACATTGATTTCCTGGACGGTCAAGAAACAGACTACAGTCGCTCGCTCGTCTACGGAGTCAGAATACCGTTCGCTTGTTGCTCTTGCTGCCGACGTGATCTGGATCAGACGAATACTTGAGGACTTCGGTATCTCCCAAGATTCTCCCACTGATTTGTTCTGCGACAACACATCGACAATTGCACTAGCAAATAATCCGGTGTTTCATGCCCGCACAAAGCACATTGAAATCGATCATCGCTTTGTTCGCGATCACATTCTAAAAGGCACCATTCGCGTTCTACCTATCAGCTCAAAAGAACAAGTTGCCGATATACTCACCAAGTCTCTCTCTACGCCAAGATTTCATGAACTTCGTCTCAAACTGAATGTTCTTCCAGATACATCCGTTTGAGGGGGGCTATTAGAATACTATATATGTTACATTTCATATCTGTATAACCATTTATGTTTCCTTATGTGTAGCTATAGGATAACACTTATAAATACTAGACTCTGTACTTGTAAAGAATATGAATAAGAAAATAATTCTTTTACTTTCTCGGTTGTCCTCTTCTCGGTGCTATGTCCGCATGCTTCTTGTTCTCTTGATTTCTACAGTCAATACACTCCTACAAAGCAGCAAGAGAGTCAAAATTGAAGCAAGAAGCTTGGAATGTAATTGATGAAGCAAGGCTTCCAGTGGTGGAGTCTCTGATCCATGGCATCAAGAGCCCTTGAAATGGCTTCAAGTGTTAAAGAGAAAGGTAAATCTGTAAACTCTAACAGAGAGCCCTACATGGGGTCCTAGTTGGGTACCCACGCTCTGCGCTGGTAGGCTTTGCCCACTCATGCCCACTTATGATGACTTTCGGGATGTCATACCCACCCACACCCACCCACTTTCCACCCTTCTTGAATGCAGCCTGCCACAGATTAATGGCCTTGAGATTTTTTAGCTTTTTCTCTGACTGCAAACTCTTAAGCCACATATCAAAATTTATCGTGATCGTAATGCGGTTCAGTGCTGTGCACTGCGTAGTAAGGATTACTGTAATATACTGCATGCATATGATGATTAGTAATGTATATTGATTTGTTCTTTGATGTTGAGTAGCCACCCATATTCACCCACGAGGTCATGGGCTTATCCATACCCACCCATGCCCATTGGATATGGAAGGCTACGTGGGTGGGTGTGAGTATGAGTACCCAATGCAGGGCTCTGGACTCTAATGCATAGAGCTGGTAAGAGTTCAATTTTCAAAGAATTAAGAGTTCAATTTAAAAAGAATTGCATGGTTTGGCATCTGTAATTAACACTAATCCTTGTGACTGTAGCTACTGCATTCACATAAAGAGGTGAAGGTTAATTATACTCCATTACCCATAAAGATATTAAGTAGTTTAATGGGGTGGAGATTAAGGCTTTGTTAATTTGAAATAATTTTATTACTACTTTTTAAAGTTATTTGCTATTATTAAATTTCTTAAAAGCAACGAAAAAGCAGAAGTCAAAAGCTATCCTAAACAAAGCCGAAGTCTCAATCGTCAAGCTAGAGAGCCTTGAATGAGATTACGGGTGCTACCGCTATTAATCAAAATATAAACCTTATGTCAGTTTATAATTCCGGTCAGTCGCAAAGCACATAGATTAAGGCCTCGTTTGGGGCGGCTTTCTTTCTGCTTCTTAAAGCGGCTTTTTAGTACAAAAAATAAATTTTTTTACTAAAAAACCACTTTATGAAGTAGTAAGAAAGCCGTCCCAAACGAAGCCTAAGTTGTCCAACTAATAAGTGAAGATTAATTTTCTAGATTAACTTTGGTGGCACAATATTTAGTTATAGGTTCGCTTGTAGAGCGGCGTGTTTTTAATATTTGCGGATTATTATTCAATGAAAATTAAAAAGAAAAACAAACTATATGAGATTGTATTTTATAGTATTTTGAAGCCAATTATGATAGGAATTATGTAAGAATATCATAGCCTAACTATTTTTCCTACTTATATGATGATAATATGCCAATAGATGGAGCTTAAATAAAACTATTGTTCATATTATCATACAAGAAATTAGGTAGCTTTGCTTAAGTAGATAATTAAATTGATATTGAAATTAGTTTGAAACAAATTGCTTGGGACCAACGCCAAGGAAACAATTAGTTTTTGCCAAACATAGAGTAATTAAAAGTTCATGATCATTATATAAATTATCAAAACAATGTAGATTAGTGAAAAATAATGATAAAGTTTGCTAAAGATATAATGGAATTATCTTCCAAAGCATTAAGATGTAGCCTAATTAGTTTCACAGCGCAACTTTGATAGTTTTTGCAAGTACAATATCAAAATTTTGAATAAATAACTTAAAGTTTGTTTGGTACAACTTTATTATTATTATTTTTTCAGATCGTAATCATAAATTCGTCTTGACTATTAATTTCTAGCTGATTTAGGATTTATTTGGAACAACTTTTTTACTATTTTCTAAAGCAACTTTTTGATATAAAAATTTTTAATTTAAAAAAAATTTATACTAAAAAATTACTTTAGAAACAATAAGAAAATTATCCTAAATAAAATCTTATAACTATATTTACGAAAATCCACGTTGTCCAAAACAAACCCTAAGCCTTGAGAAGTGCATCTTGTAAAAAAAAATCTATCAATTGTGTGTTTGAAGAAGAAAATATTTAAGCAAAATTGAGGAAGTCCTGAGTAGGGGTGTCAATTCGGGTCGACGGATCGGGTTCGGGTCGAACCCGACTTGACCCGGGTGTAAACGGGTCAACCCGAATTCGACCCGCACGGGTTATCAGGTTGACCCGACCCGACCTGCGAACCCGTTTAATTCAAAAACTGGGCGGTATCAGGCTAGGCAGCATCGGCGAACCCGTTTAATTCAAAAACTGGGCTGGCGGATAGGCGGAGGCGGAGTGACGGCGGTGACGCGGACGGTCGGACGACTCGGACGGACGCGACTCGGAGCCTGACGTTCGGCAGAGTGGCGCGGACGCCGCTCAAGCGCGGACGCCACTGCCGACTGGCCCAGACTGGCGGCGACGCGGCGTGATGAGTTGATCTCGATGGACAGACGCGACGGAATGACGAATGAGATGGGTTGACTGCGATGGACAGATGCGAAGGACACAGGAAAGTTAGGCGGGAATCGAAAATTCTGATTGACCCGTGGGATCCCGTGTCAACCATAACCCAACCCGTTTTATCAAACGGGTCGAATCTGCGAACCCGAACCCGACCCGTTTATCAAACGGGTTGAGTCCAACCCGAATTTTCTGGGTCGGATTTTCGTGTCATGTCAAATATTGATACCCCTAGTCCTTAGAGTGTATCTCAAACATAAGTACTAATTCATGAAGCAAAACTCTTGATGATGTTATTGTTAATGGAACTGATAGATTATCGCATTATTTTATTGCTCGAGCAATTAAATAATGAATATGATATTCTGTTCAATCATCTACTTGTTCAAGTTTAGACATTTTCAAAAGGCAATCTTGGAGCTCACTTCAACATATTGGTGATGATCTAGAATCGCTTTTACTTCTGCTGAACGGTAAGCACATTGCCTCTTGACACTTATGCAACAAGGTTATGACTCCTCCATCTTCTTTATCTTCTTCTTTGTATTTCATCCTCTCTGTTATGGTAGCCAATAGCTTAATAACTATCCGATACTCTGTGAACTACAATATTATTTGATAGCAAAATAATGGGTGTTTTTGTAACTAAACTTCTCATCAACATACAAATAATTGCAAACCAGATCATCCTTTTTGTGATATCAAATAATGGCGTATATTATGAGGTTTCGTTGAATATTATTTTCATGCTGAGAACGTGTTTGATGAATTGCCACTTCTGAAAGTTGTGGTGTGGAACGTCATAGTGATCATGGCATATTTTTGTTCTATAATTTGGTGCATGTCAGGTGTTTGATGAAGTGCCTGTGAGAATCCCACTTCTTAGAATCTAATGCTTTTAGGTTTATTAAGGAAGATTGTAAAGAAGAATATGCTTTTATAGCGTATAATGATTGTGGGCTTTGCCACTCATTGATATTTGATCAAAGTTTAAGAACATTTTTTATTCGTATTCGGTGAAGGAGTGGACAATGGTGAATGTGTTGGGAGATAAATGAAATCTATGCAAATATAAATAGAGAAAAAAAATGGACATAAAAAAAGTAGACCAGTTCACAAAAATACATAAATATTTATGCAGATTATCGGTTAGTCCACTTTCCAAATTATTCTGGCAATCTCACCAAGAAGATTGACAATGATTAACGTTTCATTTGTGACGATTTTTTTATTGCTTCTTAAAATAGAGTTCTAGTATAAAAAAGTCGCCCCAAACGAAGTCTAAACTTACGAATTGCTGTCCCTCCTAAGATTAAAATTAGACTCCATAATTAGATTGAGTGCAATCAAATAAATAAGTTCATTTATAACCTCAAGTTGCAAGAAGAAAAGACAATCATTTTAAGACTTAGGATATGATTGGGCTAACTTTCTTCTAGCTTTGTTTTTCAAATCGCAATCATAGTTATGTTTGATTAATATTTTCTTGTTATTTTCAAGAAACTTCTATGCTATACAACAGCTTTAAAAAAAGGTTACTTTTCCAACAATAATTTTACAATCATCTTTATAAAAAAGTTGTAGCCATCCAAAATAGTTATACTAATAAATTAGACTTTCGCAGCATTTTTTATGGCATATTGTAGCGGTTTAAACACATACTAATTTATTTGCAGTGGTTTAGGAACATTTGCAAATCCGCTATATTTGTTTTTACTGCAAAGGCTTTAGCAGCGATTTCATGAGTGTTGTTGTAGGTAGGCTTTAACAGTGCTTTTGGCAGGGGTTAAAACCACTGCTAAAGGGTAACACTTATTAAAAAAATATATAATACCCAAAAATTAGGTGGATTCAGCATCGTGATGGTAGGATTCAACATCGGGACGACATGATTCGACATTGAGATGGGTGGCTTCGGCATCAGGGCTGACTGATTCGGTACAAAGACGAAGGTCGCGGTCAAGAAGGAGTCGAATATGGAATGAGTTGGCTAATGAGTCGAATAAGGAGTTGAATGAAGAGGGGAGATCCATAATATGGCAGATTTATAAGCAGGTGATGCCTTAGCTGGTAGTTCGTAAACCACTGCTACAAAATATTGTTAAAACTTTAATTTTTTGTGTGAAAATCGCTGCATATACCTATCTCTAGTGGTGGTTTTCAAACTGCTGCAAAACTTTAATTTTTGTATAGTTCTTAAATGAAAAAAACATATATTCTTGAAGTTGCAAACACTATAAAAAACATGACGTTTTTGCAGTACTTTATAGCGGCAGTTTATAAACCGCTGGGCTGCTATAGAGAAGTTTTGACAGCAATTTTAACCCCTATTCCAATCTCGCCTTAGCCCGCTATCCAAATCCCTCTCTGTCGTCATCCAGATCCCTCCCTCTCTCGCACTATTCGTGCGAGAGCTCCAGGCCATTGGCATTTGGGGATGTTGAGTGCTAAATCCTGAATGATTAGTAGTGAGATGTTGTCTTATTTTATTTTCATGTCATAGTTACCAGAAAATGATCTGGAATATATTGCTTTTTTAATAATATAAAAAATTAAAATATATCAAATGAAATATTTCTTAAATGGCCAAAATTAAAGAAAAAATTTTCATTAGTGAATACATGATGTAATTTCATAGTGTATCAATTTTCATTAGGAATAACGGAATCCTTTTAAGTCAAATAAAAAGAAATTGTTTTCTTTTGTGAATACATATATGTTTTGTATATTTGGATCAAATATACAAAACATAGAAACATAAACCACATAAAGAAAAAACAAAGTAGTATATGAATGAAATCCAATTTTGATGTATACTAGATGAAAATAACTGACATAAGAAATATTATTATTTTTCCTGATCCGTAAAATTCACAGAAAAGAAAGATAGAAATCTTAATTTATGGTCAAAAATTCATTCATCTCAGTTATTACACAGGGATTTAAATTTAGGTTTGGACTTATGGCTTTTATAGAAAATAGCCTAGTAATTTAATTTAGAATGAGGCTTACTGCTCTATTTATGAGTTGCCCAAGGATGAGTCTTACAACCTAACTCTACAGTAAGGCTGCCCGAAGTTTTTAATTTGATTGTTTGGGTAGGTCTTAGTGCTTCTTTAGAAGCTGTCTAATGATGAGTCTTATGACCTAACCCGGTGAGCTAAGTGGTCCGAGTTGTGGGTCTTACAACTAAGTCCTATAGACTATGATGCCCAAATGAAAGGTCTAGGGTTATATTATCATCTAAACATTTACCTCAGAGGACAGACTTACGACTTCTATTAGAAGTGGCCAAGGGTTTTAATTGGGGGTTAGGAGTTAGGTCAATTCACTATAGGAAAATCGTTAATTACCGGTGGATTTTTTCGGTGGACTATTTTTCGACGGCGTTCAGGCGTATTTCTAGCAGCCTAATTTTCTAGAAGAATTTTCGACGGCCTAATTTTTTAGAAGAATTTCCGGTGGTTTTCCAGCAATTTTTCATAGTATTTTTTGAAAATCCCATATTTTCTTAAATAATTTAAATTTTAGTTTGTTTTAATTAATTATTAATTTAATTTAATGTAATTAATTATTAACTTTAATATTTTATTTTAATTAATTTTTAATTATAATTTTGGTATGATATAGTTTAAATAAATAATAATAAGAATTCTAACATATTTTTCCTCTCAGTAAAATGGTTGGGACTTAGCAAAACGGAGTGGACTCCGTTCGAATTCCGGGTAAGGGGCACAGGCGGGCAGCACGAGCAGGCCTCCTGGTAGGCAGCGGGCAGGGGGAGAGCTCGGGCAGGCAGGGTGGAAGCTCAGTTGGTCAGCCGACAGCTCAGGCGGGCAGGGCGGGAGCTCAGACGGGCAGGATGGGAGCTCTAGCGGGTAGTTCAGACGGTCAAGGCGGGAGCTCCAGCGGGTAGCTCAGCTTGGGCAGGGTGGTGGTGGCTGGGCAGCCGGTCAGTTTTTTTTTAATTAAATTTTAGATATTTTCCTGCAACCTTTTTTCGACGGAAAAAGGCCGAAAAGATGACAGAAATTTACAAAACTGCCGAAAGATGATGATTTTTCGCTGGAAAATACCGCTGGTAATAATTGATTTTCATGTAGTGATTTTTACCTAAAACTTTCTCCTAAGGTCAGGCTTATGACTTTCCTACGAAAGTTGCCGGGTAGTAAGTCTTACAATCAAGTTCTTATAAATAAGGTTGCCCAAATTTTGAATTTGATTGTGTTTGTTGAGTTAATACCAGTGCTTTGAGAGATTTGCCACTATTTTTTTTGGATTTTAGTACTTTGCTATACTATTATTTTTACTATAGTGTTTTTCTTGTTACTGTTTAGTAGCTTCTTTTTAGCACCTGCATATACTAGTAAATTTTTACCAATAATCTGCTTATTTTCCTATTTTACCATTTAATTTGATATAAATTTATATTGATGCTTAATGAAATTTCATTTTATTTGTTTACATGAGCTCGTATATGAGAGATCTTGGAAAGTTTGCACAGGGATTTGAAGATTTCTGAGTTGTTTGTACAGGTTTTGGGAGAGCTGAGTGAGTTGAGTTTGTTGTCGGGAGTTATAGTTTGAGAGTTGGAGAGTTTGAGAGTTTTTTTGAGAGTTGGAAAGCAACACTGTATATGTCATTTAGTGAAAACTTTTCTTCCGCCCTCCTTTTTTGCATTTTCTTTCAAAAATTAATTTAATTAATCAACTAACAAAAAAAAAATTAATTTTTTCTAGTTAATTGTATTAATCTAAATTTTAAAACTTTTAGATTTTAAAAATTCTCAGACTTAAATGTTTTTCATTTAAAAGCTCTCGAACTTTAAAAATTTTAAATTCCAAATGCTTTCAAATTTGAAATGCTCTTATATTTTGATACTTTTCGATTAAAAATGCTATCCAATTTGTTTTTAAATTAAATCTACATTGAGTGATAAAAAATCAACTCTAAATTGATGGAGGTGATGAAATGATTTATTGCAAGTCTTGCTATTTCATTAACTACATAAAGAGAGGTGATGTTTTGATAGTGTGAGACCTCCAACATTTGAAGAGGAATATCATTTGAAATATCAAAATAATTCAAAGTCTTCCAATTAATATTACTTGCATTAGAATCTCTTAAAGAGGGACCTCATGTAGAGACTTTCAAGATGTTTTATTTAGAGACATCCGCGACATCTCAAAAGTAGTCATTGGTCTGAGCTGATATCCAAATGAACATGCTTGTTTACAAATAAACTTGCTCCAAACAAATGATTACGATCTATGAACTCAGCCCAAATAGGCATGCTTGGTCTACAAGTTAGCCTTGGCAAATGTGATATATGAAATTAATTTTAGCAACCACTCAAGTGGGAGTCTTCCTTCGTATTGACTATTCAACTATTCGTTCGTATACGCAAAACAAATAACTTTTTATGAGTTAACAAACAATTCTAATCAAGCTACATAATATGTATAGTTTCCTCTTATTATCTATATAGCTGGGGGGAGGCTAGTCCCCCTCCAAAATTTAGAATTGTTCGCGTTTGACGCTTCTCACAAGCAGTTTCTAAAACAAAACTCAAATAAAATTTACAAACATATCTTATAGAGTATATTATTTTTTCATAATACATATAAACAATAAAGTGATTAAAGTCAACAAAGCCCCTATGAATTTAGATAAAAGTTTAAAAAACAAAACATCCACACAGCCTCTTAGAACAGAAACTTGATATGCATTCCATATAAGAAAGCTCCTGAGTACAATTAATCACAGGCTACAGCCCAAGGCTAAGATCCACACAGCTATCTGTTCTTCCTTCTTCCTTCTTCTTCTTCTTCCCACCATCTTTAGTATTAATAGAACTCTCAGCTTGCAGGAAATCCTCCAACGCAAAAGCCGGCTGCCAAAGCGAGCTTTCTCTCTTCTGCCTCTTACTCGGCGCTGTCTGCCACAGCATTCTCGTAGCTCTGATGTTCTCTATAAGCACGAAGAATTTCTTCATCTTCTCCTCTTCCTCCTCGTTCATCTCCTCTCTTTTCATTTTCTCCTCTGCCAGTTTCTCTCTTTCCCAACAGGCTTAGATAGATATTTGCCAGATTGTAAGAGAAGATATTCGGACATTAGGAGCTCTTTAAATAGAGGGTAAATACGTGATGCAGAGGTATTTGACCTGAGGTCTATGGTCTGAAACCACAAGACACGCGTGATAAGACGCTTCTCGATTGCTCACATGAATGACGTTATCAGAAGACGTCTGCAGATGACGTACTGAAGAACACAACAATTCGTACTCTTTTGCCTGCCCATCAGCATGGAGTAGTTGCGGACTTTTCTATGTACGAATGGTCAATAAAAAAAGCAAATTTTGATGAAGATATGATGATTAATTTTTTTTAGAGATAAATCTGATGGTTGTATTAAATTAAATTAATAATTCATTGTTAGAATAAATTAATTAAATTGATAATTATTTTTTTTATATTTAATAAGTTATAATTTAAATTAAAAAAAATAGATGAAAGAGATTTGTCTTAGTTGAGCAATGGTTAGGGACTTGAGGGCGGGATGGCCGAGGTTCAAATCCCGCCGTAGGCGGGCTGTGGT